TTTCTTTTAAAATTAATAATATATTTGATTAAAACTGGAAACCGCGTCAAACCATTCATGTTTGTAGATTTTACTTTGAATACTAATATATCCCGTCAGATTTTGTATTAAGCCAAATTCATTTTCTACCATTTGAATTCTAAATACCTAAATCAAAACAAAAATGATATTATTAGTTTTGTGTATTTGAGTTGATTTGTAGTCTATATAGCGTTTAAAATCTTTGTAACTAATATTGAACTAGACTGGGAACGAATTAAATACCGGTTTAATTCGATTTTCTAAAGAATCGTACTGATATGGTTTTTTTAAGACTTTGCTAATTGCTAGACTTGAGAAATATGGGAGTTTCTACTGAATACATGGGATGTAGCGGGTTTCTCCGAATTTGGTGTTTGAGACGGTATCAGTAATCCCGTTTTACTGAAGCAGTCCCTTTATCCATTAGGATATGATTCCGTATGGAATCATTTAGTATTTTCTTTCGGGAGATGTTGTCTACCTTTTAATAGATTATGTATTTCCCCTTGTAGGATTGGTGTACCCCTAGTTGGGTTTTTTCTGATCTAATATAAAATTTGGCCGACGACAACAAAACAAAAAAAAATGGGAGTTACGAGTAAATCACTATCATATTCACATACAAACAAATCCGATTTTTTTCTTTGTCTAGTAGTACAGAAGTTTGGAAGACTTGGTTTTAGTTGTAAAAATTAAACTTCAGGTTTGTCTGTAGACATCCATTTTTCATACACATAAATTATAATTAGAATTTCAAGTTTAAACTTTACAATATGCGTGACCAAAAAAAACAAAAAAACTTTACAATATGCAAGAGGAAAAAGTCCCACGTCGAATAAATGATGGATGGTTGTTAACAGTTGTATATTATATTATTATATAAGACAGGGGAAATGAGCAACTTAGGATAAAATTATCAACGAGATTGGTTCGAGTATATGAATGAGCCGGTTTACGAGCCGGTTCGAGTATATGAATTAGGGGTCCGATCTGATCCACTCCGAAAATTCTCCAATCTCGAACTGGATAGTAAAATTTTGAGGATCGGGTGTCCTAAATTCAGTTGTTTATGCGTAAAATTTTGACAAATTGAATCAAAACAAACAAAAATCGAAAATCTAGCCGAAATAAACCACCAAACCAACCAAATTAATCATTGAACCAATTTTCTAACTAGGCCCAAAACGATGTTTCCTCTCGGCCCAAATCACACATATTGTGGCGCTATAACGATAACGATCCTTCTTCCTTTAGGTCATAACCACAGCATCCATCAATCGACCAACCATGGCTTCGCCGGCGCTAACATGCGCTTACCGGAACCTTAATGCGCCGGTTTCTCTCCTGCGCACAGTAGCATCAACCCGTATCACAACAACTCCATTGTTTCGTTTCCATTACAAACACTCTCCGAATTTCATTTCTTCTTCAAAGAGATTCACTTCCTTGTCCTTACTTCAAACCGATTCTCCGAACCAAACCACAATCTCCTCTTCTTCCGATTCTGGGTATGCTTAAAGTTTGATCCTTTTTACTCAATTCGACAAAAATTTCGTTACTTTACTCTTAAATTCAGTTGCTTTATGTGTTTCAGATACCCTGAATACAATAGATTGATGCCATGTCCTGCGCATAACTTTCCTCCAAGAATTGAGCATATGGTTGTTTTAGAAGACGTTAATGTGACTGAGTTTATCTGTAAACAATTGGATCTTCCTCCTTTGTAAGTACTCTTCTTCATATCATATGTTTATAGAAAGCAAAACAAAAATATGAAGAAGCTTGAGGTGGAGTATATAAAAATTTCATTCTATGAAGGTATGTTGCAGATCTTATACGATTTGGAGCTGTACATTATGCTCTTGTATGTCCTAAACCTCCATCAACTGCGACTCCTGAGCAAATTAAACTGTTTAAGGAAGTAACTTCTCCTTCTTTACTAAGCAAGAGATCTTCTATCAAAGGGAAAACTGTTAGAGAAGCTCAGAAAACGTTTCGTGTGACGGACACTGATCAGTATGTCGAACCTGGAACTTACTTGCGTGTACACGTCCACCCAAAACGTTCACCTAGGTAGTAGACATTTGAAGAAATGTGTTTAGAAATCGAATGGTTTGAAAGTAATCAATTGATATGAGTTTATTTTATTTAATCAGGTGTTATGAAATTGATTGGAAGTCGCGGATTATTGCTGTGACTGACTCTTATGTCGTTTTGGATAAACCTGCCGGTACTACGGTATGTAATTCATCCATTAGACTGTCTTCTGCATTTTCTTGACCACTGTAGTTGCATTAGAGATCTTGCAAAAGAATATACTTCATCTCCTGAATATGGTTGGACAAATTTGATTTGGGATAGTAACTATCTGTCAAAATGTTTTATTGTGTTCTGTTTTTTGGTGATATGAAGATTTTTCTTTCTTCAGTTCCTACGAAATGCTTGATTTGATTTGTGTGTTTATACCGGAATCACGGTGTTCAGAAATTCAATGCATTGACCCACATTGACAATTTTATCAGGTTGGGGGAACCATGGATAACATCGAAGAGACATGTGCCACATTTGCCTCACGAGCATTGGAATTGCAAGAACCATTGAAAACAACACATCAGATTGATAATTGCACAGAAGGCTGGTACTGTCTCGTTATAAACTGTTTCTGAAGTTTGTTAATTTAACATCTTTAAAATGATCACAGGTCACATTGCTCTTCTTCTTCTCTACAGTGTTGTCTTTGCTAGAACGAAAGACTACTGCTCGGTCTTCCACACGAAAATAAGAGTGAGTTTGCTTGCCTCTATTTTGGTGGACTGGAAACCTAAAAGACGTGCTTAAATATTGTCTGTATGTTTATCCTTCTTTTTAAGAATAAAGAAGTGAAGAAACTCTATCGTGCTCTTGCTGCGGCTCCTCTTCCCACTGGAATTATCTCACATTATATGCGCCCAATTAATATGGCTCCAAGACTCGTATCCGAAGGTAACTTCGATTCAAAGTTGTCAAGAAATCAAAACACAAAATTTGAATATATGATTTTGTGGATCCTAAAAATGTGAATATTCTTTGATATGCAGAGTCAATCAAAGGCTGGCACTTGTGTCAACTTGAGATTTTAGAATGTAAGAAGATACCTTGGCCTGGCTCAGTTATTGAGAAGAAACATGATATTGAAGACTGTGGATGGCCTTCAAGAGAATTTGCTTATGAGTGTACCATCAACCTTATAACAGGCAAGACTCACCAGGTCGGTTCATCGACACTTCCTTTATAAAAGACGAATCTTCTTCTGAATATGGTGGGATCATCCATTTACTGGGTTGAATGGTTTTTCAGATCCGGGCCCAGCTTGCAGCCTGTGGGGCCCCATTGGTTGGTGACTCTATGTACATGCCAGCAGCGATAGCAGAGGCAGTGAATCCCGGGATCAATCCTTATGGAAAGGCAAAGAAACATTATGCAATGGAGGATGATGATAAGGAAACCGCAGTTGCTGAATGGATTGAGAGGCATGGGAAGGAGCCAAGGGTAGGAATCGGACTTCAAGCTTGTCAAATCTCGTGGGACGATAATGATGGAGAGCATTTCTATGAAGCTGGGACTCCATGGTGGAGATGAAACATTTCTTGATGTTGAGGATCTTATCTAAACTTGACTCGGTAATTGAAAGGTGAATATTTTTTTTTGTTATAAGCAATGAAATTTCTTGTTAATAACTTATCTTCATAAGACAGCTTTCTATTACATAACTTTGTGCTTTATTGAAGAATCAAACAAGAGAGACAGCAACTCGGGTCATATTTTTGTTTTCAGGCATCATCATCTTTGGATTGAGCTCTGTGTTGGAAAATGAATTTCTTGTACCAAGAAGCTGATAGTTTCGGTGTTCTCTCTAGAGTATTGAAATCGACGTGGTACAGACCGAATCTTATGGTATAACCGAGTGCCCACTCGAAGTTGTCCAGTAGAGACCAGGTGAAGTATCCTCTTACATCTGCTCCTTTCCTGTCTCCACCATTAGCTTTAGGGTTTTAGAATAAGGACATATTTAACTTTTTGTCTGAAGTTGAAGCAATTATTATTACCTCATTGCTCGTTTTAGTGCATCTAAGTATCTACTCATGAACTTCACTCTCCAGTAATCATTTAACAATACTCCGGTATTGTTTTCACCGTAACCTGCAAAAACATCAGGAAAGATAAAACTTTTTCCAACACCGCATGGTCTCAGACAGTTTGGAACACGCTTACCGTTTTCTGTAACATACAATGGAATGTTTCTGTACCGCTCTGTTGCGTACATCAACATCTTCTCCATTCCTAGAGGATAGTTATGAAACCAGTTTACTCCAGTCTACATCATTACCAAACCAAAGAACTCAAAAAACATTTCTGAAAAAGGGTTTACATTCGGTCAGTTGGTCTACATACCGGTTCTCCTAAAGGTAAACCATCTTTAAGGGCGTTTGGATTGACGAAACCTTCAGCTCTCAAACCTCCTTTGCCTGGTTCACATGTGGAATGCAGACAGTCTTTCGCGTAGTTGCTTGTATACTGATTGATTCCAATGAAGTCCAAACCATTCTTGCAGATTTTAAGTTCGTCCTTCGTGAATTCAGGGAGATCTTTGCCAAAAATTTCCTGCATTTCTCTTGGATATCTTCCAAACACAACCGGATCCAAGAACCTGCATTTCACACTCTTTCGGTTCTTGGTTCTGCTTTTGGTTTAAGAAGGTAAGAATCAGAATCTTTAAACCGAGACTAGCTTACCAATTAGAGTAGAAAGCTTGAGCTCTCTCAGCAGCTAATCTATCTGCTAAAGAATCACTAACCGGTTCAAACCAGATCATGTTCATGACAATACCGATCTTCCCTCTTTGTTCTTCCTAAATGAAACCAACTTTGAGTCAACAGGTTCTGATTTTCTGGTATGGTTACAATTTTGATTTACCTGAAATTTTGTCCGGTATATATTGACAGCGGCTAGATGGGAACGGATAACGTTGTGGGCAGCTACAAGTGGCTCTATGTCGGAATCGCCACGTGTGCAGTTTCCGAAAGCCTTGGAACATCGTGATGGCGGGGAAGTCCCTATCTGGTAACCCAGAAGCACTTGAACGTTTGGTTCGTTGAACGTAGTCCAGAATTTAACTCTGTTCCCAAAGTACCGGAAGCAAATCTCTGCGTAGTGTTCGAAATCTTCCCTGAAAAACAAAAAAACTATCTTAATTTTTCTCTTATTAGTGTACGTGTATATGTATGTGAGTGTGTTTACTTGCCGGATTTGGGGATTGAGCAAACTTCCGTATCTAAATTCGAGTTCTTGAAGAATGTCGTAATGTGTCAATGTGACAAATGGCTCGATCCCTGAGACAAGATTGAATCAAGTTTGGTTTTTTTCTTTCTTGTGTCTTTTGAAACTTTCTCAAGAAATTGTTACCTCTTTTGAGAATAGCATTGATCATTCTGTTGTAATGATCAATACCTTTCATGTTCACATCTCCAAATCTTCCCTCTACAAACACAAAAAGAAGGGTTTGAAAAGGAGTTCGAGCTAGAGAAAGGTCGGAAAAAAAACAAGAATCTCTCACTTGGAAGAATCCGAGCCCATGATAAAGAAAATCGATAGCTGTTAACTCCAAGATCTTCCATCAGATTCAGATCTTCCTGTTAAGTAAAACTTACAACTTTTTATTTAATAGACACTTTGTTTTAGAGGTTTGTATCGAAACAGATTTACAGTCGATTACCGGATATCGATGGTAATGATCAACAGCGACATTCCCATTGCTTCCGTCCGCGATTTTTCCTAAACAAAGACATATCAAGAAAGGTTTATAGAGTTTCTTAGGGCGACTTGAGCAAGAAGAATAGAAGCAACACTCTACAAAGTTTTCATTTTTTAACCTCTTTGTTCTCTAGTGGTTACATTTCAGAGCTTAGATCACAATTCACAAAAGGGTTTAATGAGAGCTAACCAGGGATGCTTGTGAAAACGTCCCAATTACTTAGACCCTTGCCATCGGTTAAGTAAGCTCCTTCATACTACATAACCATAATAAAACTGATGTTAGAAATGGATATTTTTTACTGATAACTGAAGCAAAAGAAAGAAGAATTCAGAACCTGGTAAGAAGAAGAAGCAGTGCCAAAGAGGAAGTCTTTTGGAAAACTGAAATTCCCTTCATAAGTAATCTCTCTCAGTGAGTTATGATCATCATACCATGTTGTTGT